ATGATTTTACCTTTTTTCGGCTGTTGAACAATCGAATTCAAAGTATTTCCTGTTGTTCAACAACCCAAATTGGCCCTGTTGTTCAACAACCCAAAACGAGGCCAATTTGGGTTTTTGAGTAACCGTAAGTATTTTTTGTTGTTCAACAACCCAAATTGGGCCAATTTGGGTTTTTGAGTAACCATTCGTCAAGAACTGAATTTTTTTTTCTCTCATGTGGGTATGCATGTCCTCTCTCTACCTCTCTATCTACATTACATGCGTAAAAATGTTTTTTTTTTTTAAACTCTCTCTCTCCCCTTTATCCGGCATCTTTTTTTGGATAAGTTCATAATCCCTGATATTTTTCCTAAATTTAGGGGCGCAAACTAGTTGTTCCCCTGATTTTATCGGATAACCATGATGGTAGAGAGAGAATACGCTACATGATTTCTTCTAATCTTCTAATTTCATAATCCCTAAGATTTCTTCTATATTTAAGGACTCAAACTAGTTTTTCCCTTTTATTTTATCAGATAACTATGACTTCAGAGAGAGAGAGAAAATACGCCACAAGCGAGAGAAAAAACATTTTTCGAGTTCGTGAAGAACAAACAATTTAAATTTTCGGTTGAACAGAAATTGATGTATTTTATCTAAAATACTTTGAATTCTTTGTGTTAAAAAGAGTAAAGTCTTTTTTTTTTTTTTAATTTCGTTTTAACATGAAAAACATAGACACAGTGGTAATAACCGAAACTATTCGATAGAGCCGTAATAACGGAAACTATAACGGATATGTATGTAATTTTTCCAAAAAAATATTAAGATGCAATTCAAAAATTATAAATACGCAAAATACTCCTATTGTATTATGAAGGCATTTTTATAATTTTATTTATTTTGAATTATCTTTATATTTTTTATTTGTGGGTGATAGTGATAAGTATGGATACCTACCAAATTTAAGCTTTTATATATATATATATATATATGGTTTTGTATACCTTCAAATAGTGTTGAGAAATGTGGTTTTAATATTGGAATCTTTGTGATAGTCTTAAAATATATTTTCATATTTATTTATAAAGTGTAGATAGACATATCTATGAAAACTTGAAAATCTTGAAAATTGACTGTCCAAAAATGTGTCACAAAATGCACTATTTTGAAAACTTGAGATCCATTTTTATCTCATGTCCATACATCTTGATGTCGAGATCATCAATTTGAAGATATTTCGGCATCAAAACAACCTCTTCTAGTGCAATTTTTGAGGTAGGCTCAAATTTGATTGTTTAGAGCCTCAGCTCTATATAAACTTTTCATATATATATATATATATATATATATTGCGCGCTCAGGTGCGTACTGCTACAGTAAACGCCCACAATCTGGATCGATCTGACGATCACAGTTGTCCGATAGTGTTTGAATTTTTAATTTTTTTTATACAAATCCAAATCGCTTGAAATTTTATGTGTGTGTTCTTCAAAAATAGGCAAATCTACAACAAATATCAAAAAATATTTTACAAGAAATAAATT